TGGGGATGGTCTTCGTCCAGAAGTAGATCGACAGAAAGCGCTGCCAATTATTATTTTAAAAGCATCTTGAGATCCAGTTGCATTCGGTTGCTACTTTAAATTGCTAAAGATAACGATTCGTTACGCGCTCATGGTCTCTGTGCCCCTCTTTGATGTTTGCGTTGTGTATTTGGTTCTCGAACAATTTTTTGTTGTTGTTTGCAAACGATGGAATTGCTTTCGTAGAACCGCAACAGGTCAATCGAGAAGTCGTTAAGCCACGAAAGCTTCTACTCGACTTCCTGCCGTCAATTAAGCGATGGGCGTCGCAGCCTCTCCCCGTACACACACGCAGCGGGCGAGCGAGAGAGCAAAATTCACGACAGACAAGAGCAGATGGTATCCTTACTCATTCCGTTGAGCACCTCGTGTTTGTTTAAAGTTTGTTTAACATTGACTGTGTCCTGCTCCCCCTGAGTATTTGTAATGCCCAACCTCTCCCACACCCACCCCCCTTTACACAAGATCACACAACAGAGTTGACTGATCTTCTTGGTTCTTTCGGTAAAGTCACGTAGAAGGGAGATAATAAAGTAATAAAAATAAAACATAATACAAATAAAACATCATAAAATATTATTATTTTATTATGTTTTATTTTTATTATTTTATTATCTCCATTCTACGTGAAAGAACCAAGAAGATGAATCCCTGCAGTCACGAAAGCTTTAAATCGAGAGTTGACTGACTCACGGTCGCCCACACACCATTGGGGCTCCCCACCCTATTTTCCTTTCATTTCATCACCGTGTTTTTTCGCCTGCTCTCGCAAACTCTCTCGATGCCGCGTAGGTGACATCTTGCACCTCCGATGAGTGCGCGCGGTTGGCTACGTACTTTGGCGGTGTGCTGTTTGTTACTGGCCGCTCTGACGTTCTGGGGCCTTTGGGACCGTGCTCAGCAATTGTGGTTCCAAAAATTAAAAATTAAAACAAACAAAACTCCCCACCACAGCTCCGCACAAATAAAACGACGCTAATAATCCCGTACCAATTCGCGCAAGCCGTCAAAGAGGCTCGGCGAAGAGGGGGGGGACTGCAAGAATTGCTGCGTGTAATCAAGTGAACCTCATGACACACGTGGGTGACTGTCACCATTGTAATCAACAAGGGCTTGGTACTGAAGTGAGCAATAAGATACGGGGCGTGGGGTGGGTGGTGTGGAGCTCACGGTATGCATGCAACCTGAGCTCGTGTTTAGGCATCAGGGACATGTTTAATTGATTAATGGGCCCAGTGACTGTCCACTGCCTACATCCACCGTCTGTCTTTTGACGAGAAAACACAAACGGCAACAGGAAAAGTGATGTGCCGTGTGTGTGTCCGTGGTGCCCAGCTTTCCAAGAAACCACACGCGGGGGCCTGCTGAGAATACGTCACGAGACCCAGCGATGCTTCCTTGGGTCAACGTCGAGACATTAGCTCGTTAAGGTTACACAGTACAGGGTGGGGTCCAGATGTCTTGTGACCCCCCCCATGCCCCCCAATTAATTGACCGCTCACATTTTTTTCTCATTGGAGATTCGTTTCTGTTTTAAATAAACCTTACTTAAAAAATATAATATCGCGTTTTTGGAGAATCAGATGGGAGTCACACGACATCTGGACTACCCCGCACACGTACAATGTCAACTTACGGTATTGAAATGTTATTTGACATCAACATGAAACTAAATCATACACACACGTGTGTCATATTAAAAACAAACAGCTGCCTCTGTCAATCCACTGCTGAATGAATACCTGCTTGCGTCGTTTCGGCCATGGTGGTTGGTTGTTTGACCATACTTCACCACGCTGGTCAGTGCGGTCTGGTGAAGGAGGTGGGGGGTGAGGACCCAGGACCGTTTCGTACATCGCTCGCCACTATTCAATTCTTGCGTACGATGGCAATACGTCCAGGGACGCAAATGCCACGGTGGAGGAACCGACCCCTGGCCACGAGAGAGGGCTTCAGGGATATAAGCAGCCGTGACACGGGGTCGAACTCTGGGAAAAAACAGCCCGGGTTGATAGGCCAGTGCGCTAACCACTGCGCCACCGTTCGTCCCCCACACATCACACACCCCAAAAAAGATACTCAAATATACAACAACGAATGATGTCCTGGCATCGGGGGCCTGCCTGGCGAAACTCCGAAATGGAATCACTGATCGTTTGTACTTCGCCTTGTGCTGTTACAACAATTGCCTCCAAGCAAAGCACGAACGCTGAGCGTGGCCATTATTGAGAGCGAAAAATGTTTTTAACAAAAATAAAAAATATATTGAGCTCACGCGAATGCCCTGTCCAACTAATCTCACGCCAGCGTTCACACAGCCCATGATCGTTTGCAATCAAAGCGATCGTGCAGCAACAACAATCGTCTACACACCTAAATATCCTTTTTACAGCATCAATCATTGTCTAAGCGTGCGTATGTGTGTGTGTATTATATTGCACGCAGTATATTAGTCTCATTAGCGCGATAATTCAAACCGCGTACACTCGTCAAGACGAGAGAGAGTACGTCAACATGGCTTGAACATCCTGCACTCAAATTGGCGATGCTGCTTGCTGCTGCCATTGGCAGCGGTGAAGAACCACAGATAACAACAAACTCAACATTCTTCGATAACAGCAACTGTGGCCGTGAAATGAACGGTCGCCTATGCGCAATAGGCGACGTTTCGGGCAATGACCCCCCGCTTCTCAAACACATAGGCGCAGCACAATACACTCTCTTGGTTGTCTTTAAAGTTACGTCCGCAGTAAATACACGAAGGCACCAATGTTGCGAGGAAATTCTATTCTTTGCACGTGTCTTCAATGGAAGCATTGTGTCAAATAACACTGGTCAACACACTTTTTCTGGCATAAGGTATTCCAACTGTTTAAGGTACTTTTGGGGTGCCGATTCCAAATCTGGCATCAGTTCTTGTCTATCACGTCAGGTTTTTGAGATATCAACTATTGCATTTTCAATAAAAACTGCAGAATAAAAATATTAAATAAATGTGGATATCTACATAAAATGTTATTATAAACACACTATCCTAAAAATACAGGCACCGTATTTTAACACTAAAGCAGTCACTGACTCGCAACAACTTGCAATCATAAATGGCAGAGTTAATTTCGGGTAAAATCAATGAAAATTGGGTAAGCCGATAGCATAAAATGAGATGTGATAGAGCAAATCTGAGATCAGATTTGGAATCAGCACCATAAAATTAGTCTAAAACAGCTGCAAAAGTCCAGGCCAGAAAAAAAGTAGTTTTTTTGTTGACCAGTGTAATCACACGCAGGCGCTACAATCCACATCACTTACAATCCAGACGACCACGACATCCACAACATCCCGAGGATGTGTGCAATCATTAGACACGCGTTGAAGTCAATGCCCACGCAATACGAATCGCATACAATCCACAGAATCACACCGTCAGTAACAAGCACTCGCTCTTTCGAGGTACTCTTGTGCGGATCACTGTCTGAAATAATAACATTTTAAAAAAATCACGCATACATAATCTAATATCACGGATCCTTAAAATCCGTGTCACATTTCACAGGCGCGTCGCAACAAACACGATCTAAAAATAATCAATGCGTGTAAATTAACCATTTTGTGGGGCAATTGATTATCCGACTGTGTATTTCGATGATACACAAACGAACTCATTGAATTACATTTAAAATCTTGAATCACACCATTCAAAGGATCAATCACATTCCCCAATCATCACCTGTGCAAGTTAAAACTTTTGGAGATCACGGTCTGAACGCAGAACGTAGACTACTCTACTCGATCATAACAATGCATAGAGAAATCTAAAGACTATAACCTTTATTTTATCAGGTAAGGCCCCCTGAGCTCTTTAGCTCTTTTTCAGAAGCGACCAGGCCACAAATGATAGCTCAACGAAAAGTGGATTGTCATCATGTGGGCGTTCATGGCAGCCGAATACGAAATGTGGAGTGATAAATCCACCACGCGTACACGTGGAGAGAGAGAGAGACACCACAAACTCCAAATATACAGCAGCAGGCGTCAGGGCCGGGATCGAACCCACGACCTCCTGCATACCAGGCGAGGTTGTTAACATCTCAACACAGGAAGAGAGAGACACCACAAACTCCAAATACACAGCAGCAGGCGTCAAGGCCGGGATCGAACCCACGACCTCCTGTACACCAGGCGAGGTAGTTAACATCTCCTAGCCACCGTGACGCCCAAACTAATATCAATTAACCTTACAATCCGTAGAATCACAACATCATCATCAACAATTCGCTTTGTCATGCGCACGTTTGTAGATCGTTATCTTAAAGTACGTGGTGTGTGTGCAGTCAATAGTGCGGGGAGCGGTGGCACAGCGGTTAGCCCACTGGGCCAATCGAGTTCGATTCCACAGCCAAACATCGATTAGGAATATCTTGAACCGGTCCCAGGCCTCGCTTAAACGAAAATGACCTGTCGTGGTGTGTAAACATCACCGGGGAGACAAAGGCGGCGGTGGTGCAGCGGTTAGCGCTACACTAGGAAGATTGTGTTGCCTCCGAAACGTCGTGATTTTAATTTTATTTTTATTTTACTTTTAATAATTTTTATTTTTTACCTACGTGACTTTACCGAAAAAACCTAAGAATATGCTACACTACGAACCCGGCCACCCCGAGTTCGATTCCCGCTCACGGCCCACACCGTTGTGACGATTTATCTGAACCGGTCCTGGGGCTCCCCTAGGTCGCCTCGGCCTCAACCGAGTGTGTAGTTAAAACATCGCCACTGGGGAAACAAAGACGTCCGGGACGCGGTGCAGTCCACCCCACTCCCCTCCCGTGCGCCGTGCCTGCCTGCACAGAGGTGCCGCTCACCAAAGGCTCTTGCCCCAACAGTCTGTTACAGGCTACGCGGGGCACCTTTGTCTTTGTGGCCACGCAGACAGACAGACAGACGGACAGACACACAACGCTTACCCCGCTCTTGTACGCGACACTTTTATCCAAACGTGGGTGACGGTAGTGGCGGTGGGATATATCCAACGCTACTCAACAACAACTCTCTCTCTCTCGCTCTCCTGCACGCAGTCGCCGTCAAGGTGAACGCGGCCAAGTTGCTGGCTGGCGAGCCGGTTTGCTTGATGGTTGCGAGGACGTTCACGGTACCGACGACTACTACGACTACGATGATGATGGCGGTGGTGGCGGTGATAAGTTTGTCTTGTAGGAAGACGAAGAGGGTTACGGACGACGGCGATGTTGTACGTGTCGACAAAAGACGCGGGCGAATGAGTTGTTCAGCTGCTGCTGCCGCCCCCCCACCCCCCACCTGGGGGTCCCTTTAAGTTCGTTCGCTTCTTTCCTTCGTTTCTTCGTTCGCTGAGTCGCGCTGCCGTTCACGAAGCGAGTGGCTGCGTCGCCTCTAGCGCCATCGCGAACGCGCAGGCAGGGGAGAGAGAGTTAAAGGAGAGATAGTTAAAGGAGAGAGAGAGAGAGATGAGAGAGATGCAAGGGGAAGGGGCGAGCGAGGCGAGAGCCGGAGGAGATGGAGATAGTTGCACACAAAAAGCGATGGGGGAGGGAGAGTCCGAGAGTGATGCGGGGGTGCGACACTGCCAAGGCGAGCGCGTCTGATTGGCCACAAGTTCGAAAGCTCCCCAACGCAAACCTAACTAGCCTCGCCTGCATGTGAAGAGGAGATGCATGGGGAGTCGTGGGGGTGTGGTACAACGATTACAGCAGTCGTGCTGTGACGGTTCCACCTGAAGACGGAAGCTTGTGTTGCCTCCGAAACGTCGTGATTTTTATTTTATTTTTTATTTTTTTGTTATTTTACTTTTATTAATTTTTATTTTTTTACCTACGTGACTTTACCGAAAAAACCTAAGAATAGGAGTACAACGAGTCCTATGATGTTAAACTCAGGCAGTGGTGGTTTGTCTTTACCTGGGGGGTGCCAGATCGCCTTTCTTGGGGTTATTGGGAGACGCGGGCAGATTTTCTTTTTGTTTGAGAAGGTAAATCGTCGAAACACGCACATTAAGCACGTGCAGTTCAGCACGACAACTACTTTATATTCTTGGTTCTTTCGGTAAAGTCACGTAGAAGGGAAATAATAAAATTATATTTATAAATAATATTTATATTATTTTATATTATAGAATATGAATCCCTGCAGTCACGAAAGCTTTAAATCAAGACGACTACTTTGTTGAATCAAACCCTCTGTGTTTATTAACATTATTGAAAAAACAACAACTTGCGAGCTTAAAGGGGTAAGAAGGAGGAGAGCAGAGCGTGAAATCTTTCGTGAAATATTTCATTAAAACGGGGGAAGGGGGGCACATAAAGCAAAGCATTGAAAAAAAAACAAAAAAAATAACCCGTAAAAACAAAGTTTTTCACTATAAATCCTTTATATGCGTGGCATCGGGGCGGCTAGAGTCCTCTCGTCCTCTGGCTTGAGATGGCTGCCACCTATGGGTCAGATGATTGTCTGGCAGCATTAAGCAATTGGTAATTAAATATTTTAAAAAATTCCCTAAACAGTGTAAAATTTTGGAAAAAAATTTCACAAAAATGCATTGTCACGCACAACGAGTCTGTGTGGAAAATGTCAGCTCGATTGGATCACGGGAAGTGGGTTAAAACACGACCGAAAGATTTGCACGGTCCTAAGCAAGCAAGCGAACTTAATATAAAGGATTTAATAAGTATAACCCGTAATAACAAAGTTTTTCACTATAAATCCTTTATATGCGTGGCGGCTAGAGTCCTCTCGTCCTCTGGCTTGAGATGGCTGCCACATATGGGTCAGATGATTGCATTGCACCATTAAGCAATTGGTAATTAAACATAATATTTTTGTCCTAAAAAGTGTTAAAATTTTGAATTTTTTTTTACGAACATTAATTGTCACGCACAACGAGTCTGTGTGCAAAATGTCAGCTCGATTGGATCACGGGAAGTGGGTTAAAAAACGACCGAAAGATTTGCACGGTCCTAAGCAAGCAAGCAAGCACGCAAGTGAACTTAATATAAAGGATTTAAAAAGACGAAATGATGAACGAAGCAAAGTGCCGACTACACCGAGCATCTTCCCGTTTCCTCTGCATCGTAAATAAAACAGAGCGAGCGATGTGACCGGACACTGCTGCTGCCTATTCACCTGCATTCCGCTCTGCCCCCCCCCCCCCCCAATCGTGCGATGAGAAGTTTTCACGGCCCCCCACGAGTGTTTAGATTGTGTGCCAACATTTTAATTTGATGGAAAAACTAGAAGTGTGAGGGAGAGGGGGGTGCGACTCTTAACCTGAGTTTGGGGGGGGGGGCTCTGCCCCCTACGGGACTGCAAGCAACCATCTAGTCCTGCTGTTGTTACTCACAGACGTATGAGGCCGTCCATAAATAACGTCACGCGATTTTGGACGATTTTTGACCCTCCCCCCCTTCGTCACACGGCGTCACAAAAAGTCAGACCCCCCTCAATTATGACGTCACAAAGCTGTGCCCCCCCCCCCAAAAAAAAACATATTCCATTTAAAAAAGTAAAATATGCTTCAAATCGCTTTAAACTATTGTCATTGTAGTGCGTATTTAATGTGGCGCTGCACTCTGATGTTGTAGGAGAAAACATTTATTAAAAAGTCTATTTAATTAAGTAGAACGTGTTGTCTATATTTATTTAAAATTGCGCATTTTGATGTGACGTCACATTTCTCAACCCCCCCCCCCCCCCTGGTGGGGGGCAAACTAACACATAAAAAAACAGTGGTAAAGAATTTAATTTTGGATCGAGATGATTTAAACGCGCGACACAGCTTGCCGGTGGCCTGCTGACATCGGAAGGAACCGAGAACGTTCCAGACGGGCGCGGAAGCGCGTCTGGAAGCGGCGCGCGATGATGCGGTGACGCGCAGTGTTTGTTCGACGGCCGAGACAAACAAAGTCAAACAACGCCACCAACCTCGAAGCAACGAATGGGGACCATTGCATCATGAACATGTCATAGCCATCACCGTCGTCAGCTATGATATATCCACTGCTGGATGAAGAACCCCCCCCCCCCTCTCCCCACCATCAAGCCGTCTGCAACTGAGCACGGTGCCGCAAATGTTGAAAAACTCCCAAGCGGCCAGCAATAAACAGCAACGTTTAAGACGCAGTAGGTCAGAGACTAATTGACTTGGGTGAGTGGAGTGAGTTGGGTGAGTTGGTGAGTGGAGTGAGTGGAGTGAGTTGGGTGAGTGGAGTGAGTGGAGTGAGTTGGTGAGTTGGTGAGTGAGTTGGTGAGTGGAGTGAGTTGGTGAGTGGAGTGAGTTGGTGAGTGGAGTGAGTTGGTGAGTGGAGTGAGTGGAGTGAGTTGGTGAGTGGAGTGAGTTGGGTTAGTGGAGTGAGTTGGTGAGTGGAGTGAGTTGGTGAGTGGAGTGAGTGGAGTGAGTTGGTGAGTGGAGTGAGTTGGGCGAGTTGGGTGAGTGGAGTGAGTTGGTGAGTGGAGTGAGTTGGTGAGTGGAGTGAGTTGGTGAGTTGGTGAGTTTAGTGAGTTGGTGAGTGGAGTGAGTGGAGTGAGTTGGATGAGTGGAGTGAGTTGGTGAGTGGAGTGAGTTGGTTAGTGGAGTGAGTTGGTGAGTGAAGTGAGTTGGTGAGTGGAGTGAGTTGGTGAGTTGGTGAGTGGAGTGAGTTGGTGAGTGGAGTGAGTTGGTTAGTGGAGTGAGTTGGTGAGTTGGTGAGTTGGGTGAGTGGAGTGAGTTGGTGAGTGGAGTGAGTTGGTTAGTGGAGTGAGTTGGTGAGTGAAGTGAGTTGGTGAGTGGAGTGAGTTGGTGAGTGGAGTGAGTTGGTGAGTGGAGTGAGTGGAGTGAGTTGGTGAGTGGAGTGAGTGGGGTGAGTTGGTGAGTGGAGTGGGTTGGTGAGTGGAGTGAGTTGGTGAGTGGAGTGAGTTGGGTGAGTGGAGTGAGTTGGTGAGTGGAGTGAGTTGGTGAGTGGAGTGAGTTGGTGAGTGAAGTGAGTTGGTGAGTGGAGTGAGTTGGTGAGTTGGTGAGTGGAGTGAGTTGGTGAGTGGAGTGAGTTGGTTAGTGGAGTGAGTGGGGTGAGTTGGTGAGTGGAGTGGGTTGGTGAGTGGAGTGAGTTGGTGAGTGGAGTGAGTTGGGTGAGTGGAGTGAGTTGGTGAGTGGAGTGAGTTGGTGAGTGAAGTGAGTTGGTGAGTGGAGTGAGTTGGTGAGTTGGTGAGTGGAGTGAGTTGGTGAGTGGAGTGAGTTGGTTAGTGGAGTGAGTTGGTGAGTTGGTGAGTTGGGTGAGTGGAGTGAGTTGGTGAGTGGAGTGAGTTGGTTAGTGGAGTGAGTTGGTGAGTGAAGTGAGTTGGTGAGTGGAGTGAGTTGGTGAGTGGAGTGAGTGGAATGAGTTGGTGAGTGGAGTGAGTGGGGTGAGTTGGTGAGTGGAGTGGGTTGGTGAGTGGAGTGAGTTGGTGAGTGGAGTGAGTTGGGTGAGTGGAGTGAGTTGGTGAGTGGAGTGAGTTGGTGAGTGGAGTGAGTTGGGTGAGTGGAGTGAGTGGAGTGAGTTGGTGAGTGGAGTGAGTGGAGTGAGTTGGTGAGTTGGTGAGTGGAGTGAGTTGGTGAGTTGGTGAGTGGAGTGAGTTGGTGAGTGGAGTGAGTTGGTGAGTGGAGTGAGTTGGTGAGTGGAGTGAGTGGAGTGAGTTGGTGAGTGGAGTGAGTTGGTGAGTGGAGTGAGTTGGTGAGTGGAGTGAGTTGGGTGAGTGGAGTGAGTTGGTGAGTGGAGTGAGTTGGTGAGTGGAGTGAGTGGAGTGAGTTGGTGAGTGGAGTGAGTCGGTGAGTGGAGTGAGTCGGTGAGTGGAGTGAGTCGGTGAGTGGAGTGAGTCGGTGAGTTGGTGAGTGGAGTGAGTTGGTGAGTTGGTGAGTGGAGTGAGTGGAGTGAGTTGGTGAGTGGAGTGAGTTGGTGAGTGGAGTGAGTTGGTGAGTGGAGTGAGTGGAGTGAGTGGAGTGAGTTGGTGAGTGGAGTGAGTTGGTGAGTGGAGTGAGTCGGTGAGTGGAGTGAGTTGGTGAGTTGAGTGGTTGTTGCTGCTGCAGTGGGGAGCGGTAGTTGTAGCGTTTATCGCTTCACTGCGCTCCGAAGTTCGATTCCCGCTCACGGCCAACGCCAGTGACGATTTTCTGAACCGGTCCTGGGGCTCCCCTAGGTCGGCTCGGCCTCAAATTAGTAACCGGTGCGGTGTATAAACTTCGGCACTGGGGAGACAAAGGCGGCCCGGCGTGATGCTCGCCACCCACCCTCTCATGTGCCGTGCCGGCCGTCATAGGTGCTGCTCGCTAACAGCACTTGCCCCAACAGTCTGTTAAAGGCTACACGGGGAAATCTTCGTCTTTGTTGTTGGGTGGAGGAAGCAAGGGATGCAACCCATGGCAACGGTCACCATGGTAGCAGTGGTGATAGGAGAGTGATAAGGAGATGCCTGACTGCTGGTGAGTGACTCGTTGCGTGCTGGATTATCAATAAGCCCGGCCGATGTCCAGTGAAGAATTCATTCTTATCAGTCGCAGGGAGGTAGCAGCGATCTTGGTGCAGGGAAAAATGTCACAATGAA